AGGAGTCGAGCAGGCGTATGTCTGCCTTGCCGTTCCCGACCACCGCGAAGTCGACCTTGCCCACGCCGGCCTTGCACAGGCGCATGACGAAAAAGTCCACGTCCTCTTGCGAGTTGAGCTTGCCAGTCATCGTCAAGCCCAATGGCAGGTAGTCTGCGGAGTCCATTTGCTTGTTGGTGTTGGTGTCATCCGTGTCGCTCTCCATCAACGCCTCGCACACATGGCGATGGTTAGGGTGAAGAAGGCCACTGGTCAAAACCAGCACCACCACTGTCAGCACCAGCCGCGTGAGCCTCATGGTGCACGCGCGTTGCTGTGTGAGAGTGCTCCTGCTCTCGCGTAGTAACGGGAGGCGTTTTGGTCGCGGTTGTACGTGGCGTTGGTGGTTGTAGAGTTGTCGTGGGTGCTTGTAGAGTTGTGCTTGATGGGTGGGGTGCACGTGGGTGGGTGTTCAGTGTGCACTCACAACGTCAGCGCAAGAGGGGACCCTGCCTCTGAAACAAAGCTGTGCGCTGTTCACGTCACTGGAGCTCGTGCTCTCTCGTTGGTGTGCTGTATCTGCTGCTGTATCTGCGGCCTGTCTGTAGGTGGAGCGACGTGAAGAAGAAGGGAAGGAATGAATGTGCATGTGGGTGTGCGTGTGTGCGTGTCTTGCTGCTGTTGTGTGTGCGCGTGAGCGTGAGCGTGCGGTAGGCTGTGGCGGGTCGTCGTCACAGGCCGATTCTCAGGGAAGTGGCGGCAGAGGACTGGCCATGTCCCAGCAGCTTCAAGTGCATCGCGAACGCGTGCCGATTTGAGCGAACTGGGACATATTGTAGCATGGCATCGGATGGATAAATCTCACAAGATGTTCATAAAAATTCGCTGATTTGAATAAAATATTGTGTGAAAACCACAATGTTTATGAAAATGGGCGGAACTAGAAAACGGTGTAGCGAATACGTAAACGAAACATGGACGAAGAAAACTTGACGTTTTTCGGTGCATCGCGAACAAAACGGAAGAGAGCGATCTTGGTAACGGGGCATGGAATCGTCGCAAAATTTTGCTGTGTGAGGCGTCTGCCACTGACATGACAAACTGTCACTGTCACCGTCACTGATGTCTGTCATCACTGTCACTGTCACTGACAACACACAACTGTCACTGTCACCGTCCACACACGCACACATTCACACACACGCGCACACACGCACATCCACACATCCACGCACTCACGCACATCCACACATTCACGCACTCACACATGCACACATCCACACCGCTCTTCCTTGCTCGACAACAAACAGACAACCCACTCCTCCTATGTGACTACAAGACAATGTTGTCGATGAGACGGACCCCACCGAGCGTGGCGGCAACGGAGATGCAGACGCGCTGCGAGTCGCCTTCAATGGGCCAATCCACCAAAGGCTCCATGGTCGTGGCGTCAGCAACGTCAACATAGTGCACAGCAAGCTCGGGCACCTGGCGAAGCACCGCAAGCGCCTCCTGCTTCAGCCGCGGCGGGCTGCGCTCCCCTCGCTCGTACGCCTGCCGCGCCGCGCTCAGGCTCTGCGACAGGGCAACTGCCTTGGGCCGCAGCTCGGGCGGCAGGCGCACGTTGCGGCTGCTCATGGCCAGGCCGTCCGGCTCCCGCGCCGTCGGCAACACGCGGAGGTCAACGTCAAAGTTGAGGTCGCGGACCAGGCTGCGGATCGTGGCACACTGCTGCGCATCCTTCTGTCCAAAGTACGCCACGGCAGGCCGCACAATGTTGAACAGCTTGGCCACCACCGTTGCCACGCCATCAAAGAAGTGCGGCCGCGACTGGCCCTCCGCAAGTCGCGTGGCGTTCTCAATCACAACCCGCGCGTTCGGTGGGCCGTGTGGGTACATCACCCGCGTGGAGGGCGCAAAGATGGCATGCACCCCCATGCGGGACAGCACGGCCACATCCTCCTCCAGCGTCCGCGGGTACGTGTCAAGGTCCTCGTGGGCTGCAAACTGAAGCGCGTTCACAAACACGGACACCACCGTCGTGTCACACTCCTGCAGCGACTGCTCCACCAGGCCCAAATGGCCCTGGTGCAAGCAGCCCATCGTCGGTACAAACCCAACCACGCGTTCCCCATGAATGGGGTTCGTCGTAGTGGCAGCAGTGGTAGTGGAATTGTGATTGCTGTTGCTGTTGCTGCTGTTGCTGCTGTTGCTGTTGCCGCTGTTGCTGTTGCTGCTGGTGCTGTTGCTGTTGCTGTTGGTGGTGCTGTTGCTGTTGGTGCTGTTGCTGTTGGTGCTGTTGCTGTTGGTGCTGTTGCTGTTGGATTGATGGTGGAGGTGTGTCCGAAATGCTCGCATCTGCTCAATGGTGTGCAGGACAAGAGGCGACGATGCTGATGCCGCATCACCAGCCAACGCTGATGCCGCTGTTGCTGGCGCTGATGATGACAGGGGCGGCCGGTCCGCTGCCGTTGGTGCCTGTTGGAAGACGGTGGGAATAGGCATGTGGCCCAGCGGTGGCATCTGCGGCATGACGGGCTCCAGCGCAACGGTGGACGCAGCCGTGGCCTTTGCATTGGACAGAGCCTTCACGCCATGCAACAGGCTTGCGTTCATGGGTGTCCGAACACGCATCGCCTTGCCCTCCTTGACCACGTGCCCTGAATGGCGAATGTGTGTGTGTGTGTGTGTGTGTGTGTGTGTGTGTGGGTGTGTGTGTGTGTGTGTGTGTGTGTGTGTGTGTGTGTGTGTGTGTGTGTGTGTGTGTGCGTACATGAGTTTGGTTGCGAGTTCATCAGTGCGTATGCGTGTGTGCGTGTGTGCAAAACATGTGCGTAATGAGTGCGTGCAAAAGCCACCGATGATAAGCATTCCATGAACGAACCAAAACCACACACATCCAACAGTCAACAACGTGCAGCGCAACTAAGACATGCCCCGCCCGACACGACACACACGCACGGGCATATTTATTCATCTGTACATTACGTGCATGCACGCCTTACTCAAGCACAACGCACCGTTGATGTAGTCGATTTCCGTGGCAACACCCCGCCGCACATCCGCAAGCATGGAAGAGAAGTTGGGCGCCGTGTTCCTGAGGACTGTGTGCACCTGATCCAAAGGATCCTCAAACGGAATCACAATCCCTTTGCGCTCAGCAACAGCCATCACTTCGGCAACAACATCTGCCCACCCATGCAAAAGTATCGAAGTTGGTACGCAGGTACAATCAAACATCACACAAATCATCAGCCATCAGAAACAACGTGATGAGCACCACAAAGAGATGTCACTGCGTGAGAGGGAACCAAACTAAAACAGAGAACAAGCTGTCACATCATGTCAGCACACACACACATGCACACATACACACACATGAATTCTCATGCACACACACACTTCTCACTCACTCACGCACACACACAAGAACACACACACACACACAAGCGCACACACAAGCACACGCACGAACGCTCACGCCAACACACACACACACCTCCACATGCAAGCACATACACACACTCTCACATGCAAACGCGCACATAGAAACCCCAAGCAAAGACACCTTCGATGATGGAGAGTGCTTCAGAAGACTCGAGGAGCTGCCCGTTGGGAACATCCATGATTGCCGTGATGGGGTTGATGGCGCAGTTGATGAGCAACTTGCCCCACACCACGGAGTTCATGGCGCGCTGGTCGTCAATTTGCTTGCAGGCAAAACCGGCACTTGACAGTAGCGCCGTGACAAGCTGTGCAGCATGCACGTCGCCACCGCCAGCGATGAGCGTATCGCCGCGACCGGTGTGTACGACCCGACCTGGCCGCTCGATGCGCGCTCCATCCGTGGTGACACCAGCAACAACCGCGTGGTGGGGCAGCTCTCTGCTCAGGGCCTGGTGGTTGCCCACGCCGTTCTGCAATGTCACCACCACTCCGTTTGGGCGGAGGAGCCGCCGTGCAACGCGGGCTGCCTGAGGGGTTGTCGCAGACTTTGTCATCACAATCGCCACATCAGCCATTGGCGGCCCACTACAAAGCATGCGTGCAAGCATGCATACGTATGTATATGCATATGTGTGAATGCATACGTGTGAATGCATATGTGTGAATGCATGCGTGTGTGTGTGTGTGTGCCGAACGTGAGACGTGGAACGGAGCAACTGTTCATGTATACACACACAAACACACCATGCAAGCCATGGTATACGCGTACACGAATCGATCGTAAACACACAAACACGCATCACACATGCACAAACAAACACACACAACAAACAAACAAACACACACAAACAAACACAAAGTACAAAACACACACACATACACACACAAACACACACAAAACAAGCAAACACACACACACAAACAAGTCCACGTCACAATACACGCATAAGCGTTCACTTGGAAACGTGCCTGAGGGTTTCAGCGTTGAGCACGATAGCTCGAGACGTCACTGGGTCGGTGTGAGTGGCAGCTGCAGGCGATGCTGTGCCATCCACCAGCTGCACACCACCCTGCCGTTCAATGGCATGAATCTGGTCCTGCCACGACGTCACCAGGAACACGCGGTGCGCCAGCGTCTCCCCAAGGCGGGCAGCCAGCAAACTGCCCATGGCTCCGCCACCAATCACGGCAACATTCAAGTCCTCGTGTGCCAGGTCCGCGTCAACGGTGGCGGACGATGAAGAACCTCTCGAATCGAGGCCACGCGTGCTGCTGTGGTAGGAGCGGCGGCCCTGCTTGCCCGCACCATGGCCATGGCCCATGCTGCCATTGTTGACAGCCGCCCGCGCACGCTCGACGGCGCTTGCAGCGACAGAAGGCGCCTTCTCCCGGAACGAACTCAGCACCGCGGACTTGATGAGAAACGTGTGCTCCTTGGTTGGGAAAGCGCCAGCCTGCACATCTGCGTGAAATGAACGCAGGGCATCGGCGATGATGGCGCCAGCCTGCGCGTACTGCTTGGAGAACTTGGGCACAAACTTGTCGAACATGCCAACAACGTCGTGAAAGACGAGCACCTGCCCACTGGAGCCGGCGCCTGCGCCTATGCCAATGGTCGGGATGCTAAGCTGCTGCGTGATATGCTCCGCAATCTTGCCAGGCACCATCTCCAATACAATGGCGAAGCAGCCAGCCTCCTGCAGGAACATGGCGTCCTCCAGCAGCTTGAGTGCCGCCGCCTCGCTCCGGCCTTGCACGTGATATCCGCCCATGGCCGATGCCGTCTGGGGCGTGAGGCCAATGTGGCCCATGACAGGCACGCCCGCAGCCACGAGACTGGTGACCTGGTCGATGACCGCGGGCGCGTGCACGCCACCCTCCAGTTTCACTGCATCCGCACGGCCCTCCTTGACACAGCGCACGCCATTGTCCACCGCAGCATCTGGGCGGGTATAGCTGCCAAAGGGGAGATCGCAGATCACGAGCGGCCGGTGCGGTGCCTGTTGGGGTGCGCCATCAAGCGCGCGCGTGACCGCGGCACAGTGGTGCACCATCTCGTGCATGGTGACCTGCGTCGTCGAGTCGTAGCCGAGCATGACCTGGCCAAGAGAGTCGCCTACAAGCAGCATGTCAACACCAGCACCGGCCGCAAGCCGTGCCGACGTGTAGTCGTATGCCGTGATCATGGAGAGTGGAGTGCCCTGCGCATATGCCGCGTGAATGCTGGGGATCGTCACCACGGTTCTTTGATTCGCCGGCACTGGGGCGGCAGAGGCAGAGGAAGATGGGCTGGACGCTTTGGGCGGTGATGGCGATGACGATGGCGATGATGATGATGACTGCGCGTTGCCGCTTCCTCCAGCACCGTATGGCGAAGAGGCCGAAGAGGCCGAAGAGGCCGACAGCGATGTACAAGTTGACGACAAGCAGCGCGCCACGCATGGCGAGCGCAGCACAGTTGCGCTGGTGCTGGCGGAGGCGGCATGCCGCAGCAGCACCTGTAAGCCACGCTGCACCACGCTCATTGTATTTGTCAATCTCTTGGAGTGGTTGGCTCACACTAGCACTCCACAGAAGCGAGACTGTTCACTTCAGACTCGCCAATGAAAAGTGGAGATCTCCTGCTGTTGTATGATGTTGATGTTGATTGATAGTGTGGGGAAATGATGGAGCAGCACAACGTGTGTTGCTCTTTGCTCTGCGATGTTGATGGTGCAGTCCTCGGAGAAATCGGTGAAAGATATGGCAGATTGTCCACAATGCCGTTTCTTTTTGCTGACGCGGATGACAACGCGAGTTGGCTGGCTAACTGGCTGGGTGGATGCTGTGTCGCCCTGAAAGTTGAGCTGGCAATGACGACGACAGAGGCATGCGAGAGGACAGAGCATGGAAACGCTGTTTGTGGGCAAACGATGGTTTTCCGGACAATTTCATCGACAAGGACTTTGACCGCCGTGTTCATGCACTCCGTGAGTTGTGCGTGTGTGTGCGTGTGCATGTGCACGCGTGTGTGCATGTGTGCGTGCATGTGTGTATGCATGTGTGTGTGCATGTTTGTGTGCATGTGTGTGTGTATGGTTGGCGTATGTTGCAGTGCACGTGGACAAGTCGAATAATCATGTACACGTGTGCTCGTGGGACACGTGTGCTCGTGGACACCTTTGCTTGTGTCGCAACGCATGACTAACCCCCTGCCCCTCACCATACACACCCCTCCCCTCTCTCGTGAACAAAGGAGAGGAACAGCAGAACCGACTGCGAAAACCTTTGAGCTCCTACTGGATCGACCTCGGCGTGCAATGCGCCAGGTACCACCTCAGTGTTCTCCAACACAACAGCACGCACACACGCACATCGTGGCGGTCTCTGCTCTGTTGTATTTGCGCACCTTCAAAGACAGCCGCGCCGCAGTTCTGTACCTCCTAATGACCCCCTCACACACGCACAACACATACACACACGCACATGCACACACATAACACATACACACACGCACATGCACACATACACAACACACACACATGTACACAACACACACACATGCACACAACACATACACCCAACACACACACACACACCTCACTACACATGTTTGATCATGCAGTGTGGTGCAGATTGCCAGCTTTTTCGCGGTGCTGGACTGTCATCCGGGTAGCAGCGCGCCCATCTGGGCCTGGCATGCGATGGGATGGGCATCCTTCGGATGGCACCTCTTGCTGCATGCCAGCATTGTTGAGCAGACCACGCGGGACCGCTTTCAGCTGTTTCTCTGCTTCATCGTCGTGCTCCTCCTGCTTCCTCTCGTCTCCCAACTCACGGTGCGACTGGTGGACGGAGAGCGGATGGTGGCAACCATGCATGCACTTGCTTGCTTGGTTGTGCATGTAGCGAGGGGCTTTGTGTGCATGCTTGCGTGCATGCTTGCGTTTGTGATTGCATGTCCAAGTCATGTCACATTGTGTTCTCACACCAGGAATGCACTCACATGCACACGTGCACGTGGTTCTTGCTTCCGTTGACCGCGCCTACAAACGGTTTCCCAAAGACGTCCATCAGCTCTGACACGCTCTACACCATGGCTGCATCGTTCTTTATTGTGTTTATTGCCGCCTTTCACGAATTCACACAGCCGAGGTCCGCTCGTTTGTGTGTGTGTGTGTGTGTGTGTGTGTGTGTGTGTGTGTGTGTGTGTGTGTGTGTGTGTGTGTGTGTGTGTGTGTTCTGAAAGACGGGATAGCTACCTTGCACACGCGACACTCACGTCAGCACACACACACACACACACACACACACACACTCTCTCTCTCTCTCTCTCTCTCTCTCTCTCTCTCTCTCTCTCTCTCTGTGTCTGTGCACCAACCCTTACAGCACGCACCGCCCGGTCGCCTTGAATGCTGCGACGTTTGCCAGCATCTGCTTGGCGAGCCGCTTGTCAGACATGACGGCTGTTGTCGTGTTCATGTGGTTCTGCCTCGCAAACATCTTCCTCTTGCCAGACACCCTTGCTGTAAGTACATGCGCATGCGTGCGTGCGTGCGTGTGTGTGTGTGGGAGGGGGGATTTGCGTGCATCTTGCACCATGTATCATGCACATGCATCACGATGCATCATGCACGACACGCACACTTCCATGTGCACTTTCCCGCCTCGCGTTCATGTGCAGGTGATCATCCTCGTGTCACACCACATCACATTCTGACGCATCACATCACACTGTCACCATGCAGTGCATTCGGCAGCGGGTTCCCTCGTCACGCGTGGTGTTCCGTGCGCTGAGCGCAGTTCACGTGACCCTTGCCGTTGTCATGCTGTGTTGGGCGAGCATGCTGTTGGTCTTGCGAACATCATCCACGAGCACTGGCTATCACGAACACACAGCTGATGCCTGCGCAGCATAATGTCATGTAGTGTGATGTCGTCTCAAGAGGCTCTCATGTGCATTGCTTCCTTTTTTCCACGCCTCTCTCCCTCTTTTTCATCCGCTTTCTTGTTCGCTGGCGAGCAACTCATCTGAGGTTGTTGGGTGTTGCACCTTCTACTTTTGATGCACAAGCATCATTTTCAACACAGCAGTACACGCATTTTCACACGCACGCACGCACACGCACGCACACACTCGTGCGAACATGATGCACGAGTGGACAATCACTCAAAGAACAGCCTGGGCCAAACAAAAGTGTGTGTGTGTGTGTATGTGTGTGAGTGTGTGTGTGTGTGCCTGGGCGCTACGCCAGGACGCCCTTTGTGCTGGGCACGTCATTCAGGCCACCGGTTCGGGAGATGGCATGGCGAAGCGCAACCGCGGTGGCCTGTCAGTGGGCGGTGGTGTATGGACATGTGATGAGCACCACGCCGTTGGTACAACACAACACAACACACACACACAACAAACACATGCACGCACGCACGCACGCACGCACGCACACAACACACCTTGAATGCGGATTCTGCGCGATGATGGTCGTTATCCCCGTACAAACACTCGACATGCAGGGTGATCCTAGCCAATTGTAAGTTGCACGCGTGCATGCCATGGAGTAAGTGCGTGCCATCGATTGGGACAACAAGTGCGGTGAGACCGTCGATGAAAAAGGCATGAATAGTGCACAGCGCAACGGACACGCATTTTGACAACCCCACACCTTGCTTCCTGTGCAAACGACATGAAGAAGTGTGGAATCATCTCACAGGACAGGGCTCCCAGCTTCTCACGCTGTCGACAGGGACACAATCACGGGAGGAGGCGGGAAAGCGTGTGTGTGTGAGCGAGGCGAGATGTGTGTGTGTGTGTATGTCTTGTCTTGTCTTGTCTTGTCTATCTGTCTGTACCTGTGTCTGTGTGTACTACTGTTGTTGCTGTACCACATGTCGCACCTTCAATCCAAGCGACGCAACGCAGAAAGGGCGTGAAGAGATGTCCACCACAGATCTGCACCAAACACACCAATTACCCCGCGCAGACACACATTTGTGTGAAAACGTACTGAAGCTGCTGCTGCACACCATCAACACATGCAACCAACCAAAAGACAGCACGCACACACGTGCACGTGTACACCATCTCACGAACACTTTCGTGACGTGCACTTAGGCACACACACACACACACACACACACACACACACACACACACACACACACACACACGCGCGCGCGTACCTTGAGAGGGCTTCGTCAAGCGGAGCGTAGGCGTGGCCAAACCGGGCGATGCCACGGCGCTCGCCAAGGGCCTGATCAAAGGCACTGCGAGCCGCAGTGTGGGGGGAGGCGTGTGGTTGTACAGCACGAATGAATGGGTGAGTGCAATGCCATAGAACTACACCGCGCACGCGCGCACATGCGCACCATGTGCGCAAACAAACCTTCCGAGTGCCAAGCCGACATCCTCCACGGTGTGATGGTCGTCCACATGAAGATCTCCCTGCAAGGGGGAAGGGGTGAACGAAGGTTTCCTTTGTTCATGCGCCACACAACGCACGCATACGCAGAGAGCGAGAAAGAGCGCGCGAACACCAACACACACATACGCAGAGAGAGCGCACGAACACACACGCGCGAACACACACGCGCACATGCACACACACACCCGCGCGCACACGCACACGCACACACACATACATACATACACACACATACACACACATACACACACACCTGGCAGGCCACGGTGAGGTTGAAGCGAGCATGCTTGCCCAGGGCTGAAATCATGTGATCCAAGAACCCAATCCCGGTCGAGATGTCCAGCTTGCCTTCCCCATCCAAGTCCAACGTGATCTTCAACAGCACACCACGTGACAATCAGCACAGCACGTGAATCAGACGCGTTGTCTATGGTTATTCATGGGTTCATCCACACATCCACACACATACACACATCCACACACATACACACATCCACACACACGTGCACACACACACACACGTGCACACACACGTGCACACACATCCACATCCACACACACACACATCCACACACACGTGCACACGTGCACATACACACACACGCACGACTGACCTGGATGTCTGTCTCTTTGGTCTTGCGAGTCACCGTCGCTGACCGCGGCTGCTCTTGCACGAGCTTCGCCTTCTTGCTGTTCAGCTCCATCTTCACTATCTTTTTGCCTGTCCCCTGTCGTCAGCGCGCACTGGTTTTTTGTGCTGTAGTTTTGTGTTGTTTTGTTGGTTTGTTTGTGTTGTTGTGGCTACGAGCAACGATGAATGATTTCAACTAAATTTCGGTGGTGGATGGGCTTGTTTTTCCCCCTCCTGGTGTGTTTTGTGTGTGTGTGTTTCGCCCTTTGTGTCTGATCGTCCATCATCCATTTCCATTAAGCCATTCCGTCCGCGCATCTGCCCTTTCCACTCCAACAAGCCACGCGCGCGCCAGTGGTGGCCTTGCTCTCACTTGCACGCCACAACCCCCGACCTCGTCGATCCACGAGGGGGCAAAGGGGGCATTGTGCATGTTTTGTTTTGTCGCAAGCGCCTTTTGCCGTGCTCAGATCTCAGATACTACTATCACCGCAATCCTCCTCCTGCCTACGACTCCCCTCTCCCCATTTCGGCTCTCCTCCAAAACAGCAAAACAAAACCAACAACAACAACAACAACAACAACAACAACAACAACAACAACAACAACAACAACAACAACAACAACAACAACAACAACAACAACAACAACAACAACAACAACAACAACAACAACAACAACAACAACAACAACAACAACAACAACAACAACAACAACAACAACAACAACAACAACAACAACAACAACAACAACAACAACAACAACAACAACAACAGCAGCAGCAGCAGCAACAACAACAAGCCATGGCCATGCCAGGGGATACTGGCGACTTGGACATTGGCCTCTTCTCTTGTGAGGAGCTGGAAAACCTCGACATCCACCTGACCTTCGAGGACGCACACTCCGAGTTTGCCTTCAGCAATGAGGAGGAGCAGGACGCACACACGCTGCGCCACATGGAGCAGACGCTCAGACGATGCGTCGAAACAAAACGGTGCGTCGCACCAACACACTGTCCCAAGCGCAACCGCTTGCTTTTGCTTCTTTGCTTCCCTACCTGCCTGCCCATTCCACCGGCTCTGCCTGCGATCGATGTGGTGAATGTGATGACTGTACTTGGCCCCCCCCCCGGCCGCCATTTTGGTTGTTGTTCGCGCACTGAGACATTTTGGTAGTACAGTACAATGCCAGCACCCTGTTCGGGTCACTTCTTGTTGTCCTTCGAGCTGCTAATCCTGTCCTATGTTTCCCTGAACATGGCAATGTGTGCATGTGTGTGTGTGCGTGTGTGTTTTGTCCGCGCGCGT